GTCTCTCCTACTATCCCATTGATATCAGACAGAACCTTTGATGAATCTTCCAGTAGAATTTCCACTTGCCCTGAATTGCCACAACAATTTCCAATTTCTAGCTAAACACTTGTCTTGTAAGTTCTAAGTTTTCCTTCACCTTGTATTAGAAACAGAAGATGCCAAAGAGCATGCTGGGTCATTTCAGTGTCTTAAACCCTGATTTATAGACGTAATCAGGAACTCAGACATCCATGGTGGGATTTCTGCAGTTAATCATTGGTGGTCTGGCTTTGCTACCATTAAAGCCTTGGGGGTAGACTTCTTAATGGACGTTAAGGCAGTTACATTAAAAATCTTAATCATGATTCACATTAATATTCAGGCTTATTATTGGTATTACTATGGAAGGCTCTTTGGTCTGTATCCTGCAGGAGTTCAGGCATCATCATATTCTGTAGCATATATACCTTCTAAGAGTCTACATGCATCAAATAGGAGGCTCAGCAGTGCTAAATGATTTTTTTTTTCCCTTCCTGTCTAGTTTGTTCAGATTTTTAGGTGTAATAGTAGGATAACTGTAAAGGAGGTATTTTTGAATTGTGCGTATTTTTGAATTGTGCTCACAGGGCATGATATGAAGAGAAAACCCTAAGCTGCCTCTTTGAGAATTCAGTTCTTTGAAAGATTTTTGAAAATGCTGTATTTCTTAAACTATGTAGGAAATCAGCAATAGAATCAGTGTAGCATAGATAGTGTTAATGTGATATTAAATTCAAGTTGCTCTATATGTAGTTACTGACATGATGTATTTCAGGTTTTTGTTGTACTGACACAGTTTATCTTTGCAGTAGATACAGTAGGTTGCGTTTTCGAGGAAAGATGTAATGAGCCTTATAGCTTGGCAGAGAATTCCTGAGACTATTGAAATGGAAAAGAAGTGGAAATATAACTTGGCTGTGTGAGATATTAATTTTGACTGTATCTATTTAAGAAAACTCAACATCAATGAGCTCATTAAATCTGATGTTAAAATTTACATCATTAGATTTCAAAGTCAGTAAGCAGACATAATTATTTAATGATGGTGTTTCTCTGGGTTTTTAGGGCCATTTTGGAGAATGAAATGAATTGTTTACTTGACAGACAGGTGGCTGTATAGTGCTCATGGCTGATTTTAACAATATGTGACAGTAAGAAAAATTAGAGCTCATTAACATTCACTCGACCCAGTGTCTGCACCACTGATCAATGCTTGGACTACTGTATGACTTAAAATGCTTAACGAATCTTTGTTTGACAGGAACCAACTGCTGCTGGAGGAAAACATGAATGATCTGATCGCTGGCAGAGTGAATATAGCCTGCACTTTATAAACAAGCAAAATGTGAATAATTGGGGAGCAGAATGAGTGAGAGAAGTCTTTCAAGGCTTGTAATGATTGATGAACTATATTATGGTTGACACACACACTCCATGTTTTGCATAAAAGCATTAGCATCTGATTGAGCGGAAAACCAGGGGAAAGCGCGATTGCCTATGTGATTAGTGGAAGGTAATCAGCCATCTGTTAGGCATAATGCAGTTACTAAAGATGAAGATAGAAAGCATATGTGTGCATGTGCTTACACAGGATCTCTCACCTTCTATACAAATATCCATGAAAATATAGAACTGCATATAAAGAACTAACACAAGGAAAAAAATACTCTCAATTCATCTATTTTTTTCTCCCACTAGAAAGAATACAAGCTTGTAGCTGTGTTGTGTAGTTCATAAATGTGTCGTTTGTAGCTTCAGAAGTGACAGAAACAAATCGTTTGAGGTGTGTATTTTAAAAATAATGGTGTCACGACTCTCACTCTGATTGTGATAATGAAAATAAGGCTATGCCCTGAAAATATTGAAAATGTGTTTTCAGCTGTTCACCTCCAAATTTAAAATCATCTAGTTTATACAGCTATTCTAGGTACAGAAAGGATTTGGTTTACAAGAAAGCTAGAGTCTGATGTAGCATTGCTTGTCCACCTAAAACCATCATTGATTCTACCAGGATTTTGTGAGATAGAAAACAAAACTGAACTTAGCTTTTCATGTTTATAAAGAACTTTAGCAGTGATAGAGGCCCTGCTTAAAAGGAAATTAATAACTTCTTTACCTCTTTTCAAAATTTATTTTACACAGTAGTGTATAAAGAGCAACTCTAAAAAATGTATTCAGTTTTAATATGAGTTCTAACACTTACAGTGGTTTGCAATTCACTATCTGTACATCTCACAAAATCTGGAAAAACAAAATACTCCAGAACAGAACAAACAAGGCCAGCATTTAAAATTAGTCAGTTAAAATAGCAAAGACTACAATATGTGACCCCGAATTATTATTGAACTTGATCATTCATTCATATCTTTTTTTAGCAAGTGTTTTAATCCACTAGGTGACAGCTTGGTGTATGAAATATTGTCCTTAAATAGACTTTGTCAAATTTCAAAGTAAAATTGATTTTGTTAAAATTTGTCATATGTCACTGATGGTACATTATGTGAATACTGCTGAAGCAGGACTTCCATGCCCCATGTTGCTATTTCCACCTTCCATGCTTCAGTATAAAAGTAATATCCTAAATATTGGAGAGTAAAGGTTATAGCTAGGGGACAACAGATGCAAGTGGCTATATGAGAATGGGGTGGAGAGCAGCTAATTCAGTCATCTTCAGTAGCTGGTGTCTTAACCTAACTTTACGAATGCAGTGCTCTGCAAGGCTCATGACCTAGTTACAGAGGTGGAAGTCTAACTTGCACGGGGTCAGTAATCCAAAAAGCAGAACCTACTTCTGATCATAAGTGTTATGGCGAGTTCTGTAACTCCTAAATTACTTAAAGCAGATAAGTCTGTAAGGTTTGCTGTTGTTGCTGGGCCTCGTTTGCTGTTTAGTATTTCAGCATTAGAACTTTGTGAAAACTGCCCTCTGGCAGGGATTTTCCTATTTTCCTTCCATACCCAATGCACGAGGGTGACCGGAGCTTGTGCTCTCAGCGCCTTGCAGGGTGTTTCGTAGGTCAGCGCAGGCGTGGCAGGGGTATTATATTGCTTTCCCAGAGCCGCAGAGGAGCTGGGGGAGGGATAGCGGGGTGGAGCGTACTGTTTCTCCAGAGATTTTAAGAGCACTCCTGTGAACACACTGCTACAGGGCCAGTTTTCTCGGAGAGCACAGGAGAGCCTTTCGGTTTTCCTTTCTCGCAGCGCAGTTGGATGATGATGCCTTTTCATTCTGCTGAGAAACAATTTAATGAATCTGTGTCCTAGTGTTCGGATTCAGTCGTTTCTAGCTGCAGCAGTTTCTCCTTCCAAGTGTTTATGGGCTTTGTAAAGCTTTCTCAGACCTTTCTAATTAGTATCCACAGTGTGTTTTATTACCTTTGTGGGATTTTTTTTTTTAACAAATGTAAAAAGAATGATCTATTTTAAAGTTTCTCCACATATTCTTACTTGAAGTGTTGCAACTTGTGATGTGGCAGAAAGAAAAGGATTCAAAGGACTTGACTTTAAGAGCAACTAGGATTAAGGAGGCATTAGCTGTAACGCTGGAGAGCCAGTATATAGAGTCAAGCACTTCGTAACAAAAAACAGGTCAGCAGGTTCCTAATGGTTGCTAATTGCAAACTCAGTGTATCAAAGCTAGAGCTATGCTCTGCATGCAGCATGGACTAGCTTTTGTTTGCTTCTGCAGGAGCATGTTTTATTTTCTGTTTGCTAATTGCTTTAATGTCCTTACTAGAGCTGAGTCATGTTGAAAAACTCTTGCAGAGTGCCAGTTTTTTTAGTGGAAAAACTACTAAGCAAGTGCTGCTCTTCCTGTGTTTCTGTATCATTTAGTGACTCAGGACCAACTCTTTTGCTGCTAGGCACATTTAATTTATTAACAATAAACATACAGAAATAAGGACCACATGCACTTCACTAAAATGTCATTTTCGGGAGGAAATAATGTAAAGGATATGCTTGAAGTAATAAAATGGTTTTGGCTGTTAGAACAGTTGATTTATATGCTTTAAAACTGTGGCTATGAGCAGCAGTGTCTAAGGCAAAAATGTTTTCAGATTGAGTGATTTCTCTAACAATATATTTTGAGTATGTATGGCAACAGAGTTTGTTGAAAAATGGGCAGTGAAAAGAGCGTGTACAGAGAAAGAGGAACAAAGTAAAATGTTTTGCTCATTTACTTTTTCCAGTGAACCTTGTAAGTGTATATTGATGACACAGCTTTTGGGCTTTAATAAAGCCACTCTTGTAAAATGATGTTTTAATTTTAGGTATATATTTTGACATTTGGAATTCTGATCTATAATTTTGGAGAGACTTGTTGCTTATTGCACCAGTTGTTAATGTAACAAAACTACAAGAATTTAAACTTTGAAACTAAAATCTGCCTACAATAGATCAGCCAAGTATCCTCAATAGTTTCTTCAAATTTGCCTTCAAAATTTTTGTTGTATGTGATTAATTGTTAAGTGGACGTTTGGGAAATTTGAATAAAACTTGAGATATTTTGTGTTTAGTCATAAATTTCTTGCCAAGGAATATGTTCTAATATGTGCTAGTTTACAAATACCAGCCCCACATTAATTTGTGGAGTTCAGTGAAGTTCTGCTAGCTTTGTCAGTGCTCAGTTTATTTATGTTGCAGTGGTAGAAAATCAGAACATATTTTTCATCACTGAAAACAGTCATTTCCAAAGTGATTGTCTACAATGAGAGAAATGTGGTATTTGTTATTTTTCTCAAAAAAAGAATTTGCTTGTTCAAATCAACCAAGTTAATTTGAAAAATCTATTTATTCTTGAGCTTCTAATGTGGATTTCAGGGTGAAGAATTAATTTCGAACTACAAGACGTCGGTGACGTTGCCATTTACTCCTTGTCTTGTGAACATTTTTGTTGCAAAATTCGGTGTCATAACAGCAGTGTCTTTTCTTTTTGTCTTTGCAGCTATTTTGGAAAGAATTAAGCTTTAGACTTCCCCATGCTAGCCATGGATGTAGCACTTTCTCCCATGAGAACACAAGAACTGGATCCCATGCTGTCTGATGCATCTCCCATGCTCATAAACATGACTCCTACAGTGGAACGAGATGGGGAAGAGGATGTCATGAAGGAGCTTGATTCTGGGCAGCAGTATGAAAAGCCTCCTCCTCTACACACTGGGGCTGATTGGAAGATTGTTCTCCACTTGCCAGAAATTGAGACCTGGCTTCGGACGACATCTGAAAGAGTCAGAGATCTGACCTACTCGGTCCAGCAGGACTCGGATAGCAAGCATGTGGATGTGCATCTGGTACAGCTGAAGGTAGGATGAATTTTATATTGTAGGCTTTTCAGTCAAGGTGGTTCGTTCGACTCTGCTACTGGTGAAGTAAAAAAAAGGGCTTTTCATAACTGCTGTAGCACGTCTGACAACTTGTGTTAAAAAGTGAATAAATCCTTTACAGAGAGATAATAGAAACCGTATCATTCTCAGATTTTTTGCAACGTTATTTACTCATCACTTAATTCAACAGTCATAACCATGTTAATGAACACAATCACACTCCAAGAGCAGCTGATACAACACTAACAGTAACCTAACTGGACATCTCAAAAGTGCCTGGAAATATTCCCATTGATTTTAATGTGCTTCAGTACCTAAAACTCCCAAATTTGTGTCCCAATAAGCAATGGCTGCCCATTTGAAAACTAAGCAAGTTTCAGAGGCAGTAGAAAGGTGGTCTAATGTCTCGCCTTTCAGTCATTAAATTTTACATTAAAGATTGAACTCAGGTGGGACTAGATACAAAATGTTAAATGTGTAGGATTTTTTTTCATATCTGAGTCTTAGTAAGAAATATGAAGTGATAATAACAGTCATAGCCAGTAAATGAGCATTTTTTTTTTCCTCCTCGTCAAGAAAGTGCATTAGCAGACTAGATTTTATCCTCCAAAAATCTGTGTTTTGTATAAACTGAAAGAGCAACAATATCCCTTCCCCCTACCTGACAACTGGACACAAGTATCTTTAAACAGTTATTTCTGTCTTGGTCTCAGATTTAAATTTTGGTGTTGAATCTTTAAAGATATTAAGGAAATTCAAGGTGAAATTCAAATAAAGGTTGTCTGGGACTGTATGTGTACGTTCGTTTGCATGGCTTGGTTTTCTTCAGCAGATGAAGCATGCGTTTGAAGGCAGCAAACAATCTCCAAAAATAGCAGGCAAATGTTATCTCTTCAGACTGAGCTGTCTTCAGAGTTTCATTTTGAAGCCTGTTGATGTGAACATAGTCTTCCTTCATACTCAGCATGATGGTATTTTATTTGTGTTTATTTTTAGGATTGGAGCTGTAGGCTGTCTTAAAATACAACTCTGTGTACTATCGCTAACTGTAGAGCAATTGTACTGTCATTAATCCTAACCAAGTAGAGAGCTGATCTCAAGTTTTTTACGTACCGCCATTTTTCTGAAAAATTTGGGGTATACATTGCCAGCTTTTGATGAAAGGACTATGTCTGCAACGTGCAGTAGGTTTTAGCAAATACACCTAAAAGGTGTTTCTGCAGGCAGACATAACAAAGCTCACTGGACTAGGTGCCATTTCTGATCTGGAATTGCTTCTGGCCTTATTAGTGCAGTGCTGAGCTGAAACTAAAGAGCTGTGGAACTTGTGGATGGTATTCACATGCAGCTTTGGGCTGGCTCAGAGCACAAGCAGAACTGATTTGTGCCTGCTTACAAAATGAGAATATTCTGTACGTATAGCTCACCCTCACACACCCACTAAAATGTTTTATTTTCAGATGGAGGTCAGTGAATGAATAGCATTCCTCACAGTTTTCTCCTTTTTTGAGTTTATTTGTGAAGTTGCAAGAGTCAATGGTAGTTCATAAAATACTTTCCTAATGGTCTGTTCCATGTAAGAAATTGCTGTAGTGCCTAACGATTGTTTGGGATTAGAAAGAGATCTGGTTAATGCAACTGTAAAAAAGGACAAAAGAATAACAGGAAGCAATGTCAATTATCTGCAGTTATCTGGCCTGTCAGCTCGGAGCAGGGGGGCTGCCACTGAGGCTGTCAAATATTCTATGTACAGACCCTGGGCTCCCAAGGAAGTGCTCATTTTCTGTGTGTTTATACACGTGTGTATCTCTGTGCGTGCATGATAATAACTTGTATTTGAAGATATTTTAAAAATTTTTGATATGTTTTTAAATTTTTCACGAAGTAACATAAAAAGAAAAAGCTTTGAAAAAGATCTATAGTAGTAGTAGTAAAAAACAGAGCAAAGTCTCAACAAACGCATTAGGAATACCGACCTTTTGTAACTTGCTCACTTTTAAACCTGTATACAGACAAAAAAGAAATAAGAATGTACAAGCAAGTGTGGAAATGCTTTTATTCAGTCTTTAGATACATTTTAAATTGTTTATCCTTGTATTCTCTTGCATTATATAACAATGAAAATCAGCTAAGCAAAAAAAAAAAAAGTAACCTCATACAGATCCTCTTTTTTTATCTGTTCTGTGCTCTGATAGTTCTGCTTGAGGGGCTCCTTCCCACTGATCTGGGTCCTTCTGCAATTGTTGTGCTCAGGCTTGACACGGGGCTCAATGTGAAGCTTCATCATTGCCAGAAGACTGGAAAAAATATTTCACATCTTCAGACAGTACATAGCAGTTTAATATTTTCTTTTTTTCACAACAGCAGGAGGTGGTTGATTCATGTTCAGCTTGTGATTCACTGTAACTCCCAAATTCCTTTGCTGGACTATGGGTTTTTCATTTCTCATCGATTTTATCTGTGAAATTTTACATGTAGAATTTTGCCTTTGTCTGTTATTGAACTTTTTTTTTTTAATCTTCTATTTCTCAAGTATGTCCGTGACTTTTTCAATTCCAAATCTGTCTCCTGGTATGTTTGAAGTATCTCCCCCAAGCACACATATTGTTGTCATCTGCAAATTTAAGAAGCCTTCTCTCTACTTCTTTGTCCAAATCATAAAGACAAAAATGAATGATACAGACTCAGGATAAAAGTCTACAATGTAATAGCTTCTGAATATAGCTTTCAAACTGCAAATGTAGCAGTAAGGCAAAAAATTTTTCATTCTCTCATAGTTTGTTTTCCTGAGCCAAAAGAGGTCCAATTCCATTTTCAGGCAGCATTCTATTAGTTTTGGATGCTTAGGGTTGATTTCCTTCCTCTGGCTGTCAGTTGGCTCATGGTGATAGGGCTGGTTTGAGGATCCAGGTCATAGCAGAATTTTTATGTTATTCCTTGGAAAAATTGCTCAGCAAACAGATAATCTCTTTTTCTTGTGATTATTTGCTCTGTCTGCGCTTCTGCTCTTTCTGTAATCCATAGTGTTGTTTCTTTTTTGTGGCTTGCTCCCTGGGGATTTTGCTGTTTGTTGGCAGTCTCTTTTTATGCTACACAACTTATGGCTTTACTAGCCACCACTGATCCTTTGAAAATACTTGTTTCTCTCACTTTTGCAATGCCCTTTCTCAGAACTGGCCATGCAGCATGAGTGGGAGGTTTGTCTTATGTTGTCCCTTGGGAAATTTCCTGGAAAGCTCAGCTTCACATGAATGCTTCAGTAGGTTAGATGCATGACTCATAACTCTCCGGGGTCCGGAATGCCTTATGTTAGTCATTTATCTGGGCATCGCTCTTAAGCTGTGCTAAGATACATTTACATCTCTCTAACACATTCAGTGTAGCTGTTACCAGTTGCAAATATTTGTAAAAGAGAAGAAAAAAAATGATGCTTTTACTACACGCAAATCTAAAAGTTCTCTCTTTGTCCTTGTATTGTGTTAACCTGCTGAGATGCTTTCATAATCCATTAAGCTTTTTTTAGTCTGAATAAAATATGCTTGCTTTTACAGCAAATTCTTTCTTGGAATCCTCCTGAGGTCCAACTTGGATTCAACTCCCATTCTTCTCCTTTACTTCATATCCCTTAACCCTCTCTGGGAAGTGTTTCAACTCAGTGATTACCGCTTTCTGTCTTCTTCAAAAAAAAGTCATTTTGGATGATCTAGGGTAATCTTCTGTATTTGAGAGGTCTGTTAACTTTTAACTTACTGTGGAGTAAAGCACTCAACCACTGCTTTGTGACTTAAATGTCTGAATCATATATTGCATATTGACATAGAAACAAACACAATTAATGCTATGATAATGTCTTTAGATCATTGCAGACCACTGATCTTTTCTCTCTTTCCAAGTAGAGAGACTTCAGTCATCTTTTTCCAGGATACCTGGGTCAGCCTCAGACATCTCTTAACTGATCTTTCATCTTTCCTTCTGACTCGTACAAAGTTTTTATGAACTTTGGATAGAGGTCAAATGTCATGTAACCGTTACCCTTTTGCTATCTCTGTTTCCATGTTTTTGGGGGTCAAAGACTTTTTAGTTGCTTTTCTCCTTGTATTTAAATCCTGGAGAAAAGTGTAAGGAATTATCAAAGCATGATATTAAATGCTATTAATTTCTAATATATCTGCAGTTAGATACAGGTTATTCCTTTTTTCATTCCATTACAAGCGCTTTGATGAAATGTAAAGCCAGGGTACTGTTGATATATTTCTCTCTCATCTCCTCCTGTTGAATTCAGTAGGTTTATATTGAATAAATAATATTAAATATTTCTGGGTTTATTAAATAGGTACTGAAGGCTGGACCAAATGACTTTTCTGAGTACTTTTCAATTTTTTTTTCCCAATATCTGTTCCTTTCGAGAGCAAAAATTAGTATGTTTTTTCAGATGTTAAAATAAGCCACTCAAAATATGGCTGTCTGGAAGATCACTTCAGTAAGTTTAATTTCTTGTAATCTGGAACTCAGAACTGTCTTTATCATAATCTGTAAAAGGACTTACTCAATGCTAGCAGCATTGCTGAAGTACCTCATCTACCACGTCTTTCTGTATCATTAGAGGCAGGGCTATTCTTTCTTCTCACCTTTGGTTTGATGACTCTCAATGGCTCTATTATTCTGAGGCTTGTGACAACATACCTTGCTTCTGCAGTTGTACAGCTTTTCAGCTGTGCTATCTAAACCACCTTTAACTAAGGGCACAGATGAAGTTTTCCTAGAGTCTGAATGTCTAGACTGTACAGACAACTATGTATTGTAAAAAAAACTTGGAGAAGCATTAAGCCTCATCATGTTACCACAACATAATTGATATTTTATAAATGATCACAGAAGATGTTAGTGACAGTCTTTACAGAAGGCTATATAGATGAAGCTCCTAGTGGAAATACCGTTTGGACTGCTTTATCTTCACAGAAGTTGGCCACAAAGCTAAC